TTCACCCTGTCAAAAGCACTTTTTAAATCTACAAAGCACATGCATGCTATTTTTTCATATTCAATAGATTTCTCTATTATTTGTCTGATAATAAAAATTGCGTCTATTGTGCTGCGGTTCTTCCGGAAGCCTTGTTGTTCATCTGCCATGTTCGCTTTGTCCTCAATTTTATCTTTTATGACTGCCGTTAACAATTTTAATGTACTATTCATTAGACTAATGCCTCTATAATTTTCAGGATTTCTTGAGTCTCCATTTTTAAGTATCGGTAGCAGGAGACTTTCTTTCCATTCCGCTGGTACTACCCTGGTATTTATTATATCGACGAATAATTTTAGGAGCCATTTGCGTAGTGTTGTTTCTCCATATTTTAGCAATTGATTGTTTATCTTCTCAGGACCAGGTGCTTTTCAGTTTTTTAATTTTTTTATTCGTTCTTGTAACTCTTCTTCTGATATTAGTACTCTATCGTGGGTTTTGTTAATGATTATTTCTCTGTTCTCTTCCTCTTCTTCTCCATATAATTTCGTGAAATGCTCAGTCCATTGTTCCTCCGTAATGTTATCTATACGTACAAATTCATTCATTTCTGTTTTTTTGTCTCTTTATCATCTTCCACGTATATTTCTGGGATCCATAGAGCTCGTATTCAATATCTTTGGTAAATTTCTCCCAGCGTTCTTTTTTGATGTTATCTATTTCTTGGTTTACGCTACTCCTGATTCTCACGTAGTCTTCTCGTGCCTACGGAATCTTCACTCCTTTGTATGTTAGGAAACTTGTTTCTTTTCATTTGCTAGTGCTTTCACCCTTTCGTCATATCATGGAGTTTTGTATTCCCGTTTATTTCTGTTAACTTTTCTTTTACCTAAAGCCTCTTCCGCTGCTTGTAGGATACATTTTTAAATAATTTTTCAGGTTTTTTCAATATTCTTTTTAGTCTCTAGGTTATGGCTATTTAGGTTTTCTGTTAGTCTGTTTCTATACAAGTTTTGTGTCCCTTCTTCTTCTAAGCTTTCTATGTCTAACTTTTCTTCTACTTTTGTATTTCGCTTGCCTTGTGTGGTGATTGCTATATTTATTTTTCCTAGTACCAGGCTATGGTCGGATCCTACATTGGCAGAAGATAGAGTACGCACATCTATTATATTCTTGGGGTGTATTTGTCTGTTTGTTATAATGTAGTCAATCATAGAGTTACGTTCTTTTGTATCTGACTAGGTGATCTTATGTTGTATTGGGTGGTCAAAGTATGTGTTGTTAATTCGGTGGTTAGGCATTTAAACAAAGTTCTAGAAGTCTTTCTCCGTTGTCGTTGAGCGTTTCTTCGTTAAATCTTTGTGTAACTCCAGCCATAGGTATGTTGCCTACTCTGGCGTTTAGGTCGCCGAGAAGTAATGTTTTACTACCGGCTATTGTGGTATCCCTGTTTTTTTTTGTTATCCGGTGCATATACGGGGATAATATTAAGTATCGTCTGGTGAAGTTTAAGGCAAACCAGTATCATGTGTTTGTTAATGTATCTTATTTCTTGAATATTGTTACTATATTTATTGTGCATTAAGAGGCCTACTCCTGCCTGAGCTCGTTTGCATTTATCTGCTCCGCTGTTTAGGAATATAAATTTGTTTCTATTGGCACTTCCTTTCCCTTTCTTTTTTGTTTCGTTCAGGGCACATATATCAATTTTATGGAGCTCCAATTCCTACACAACTTCCTGTTCCTGTTTGTTCCACGATGCGATGTTTCAAGTGCCAATTCGTAGATTATTTGGTCTCTTTGTCCTTTTTATTGCATGGTTCGTCATCTGTGTCTCCGTCCAATTCCGAGGCTTCTGTTCGGTTTCTCCCTTTCTCGTCAGCCCTAACCCTGCCTCCCATTAGGGTTAGTTACCCAATCTCTAGCAAAGTTGCTCAGGTTTCCAGGGTTCACTCGTGCAGCCCAAGCCGCACTTCGTGGAGGTGAGGATAGGGATTGAGTAGGAGAAGCTAGAGAATGCTAACTGGAAACAGCATCTCATATTGCGCTTCACTACCCCTTTGAATCCCAAACATAATTTCTCCTCATTATAAAAACCACCCTTTGCGAAGAAATTCAAAAAGTAGTAGTTTTTTTAATTGATACTATAAGTATAATATTTTTTTAATCAAAATATTATAAATTTATTTTATTTCCACTTAAAAAACAATTCTTATTAGTTTGTAAGAATGGGTGAAAGTATGCCTGTACCTTAATAGTATAATATGTGTATGTTACAATGCCACAGTATACGCATTTTCATATCTTCTAAAATATGTGATTGGTTTTTTACTTATAACTCGGTTAGCTTTTAAACTATAAAGTGCTTAAAAACCATTTTGTAAGTTTTTTTTAAGGAATAAGATCATTTAAGTATTTTTTTAAATCCTTATTTTTAAAAGGGTTTCAGTTGAAAGTGCTTAAGCGAGTCACTAATCACGATTGTATTAGTTTTTGAAAAAATGCATTTTTTCCAAATAAAAAAAAATATATATTTTACTTTAAAAGCAAATTTTTTCAAAAATAAGCCCTTTAAACCGGTCAAACTTATAGATCATATAAAAAATACTTAAACAAAATAAATTATAAAGCGATAATGAATAATTTTATTTATGTTGCTAATTAGTGGGCAGTGGCGTAGCTAGCATGGATACACCTCGGGAGGTAATCGATGGTGTCACCCCAAATCCTAAAAATAAAGATTATAAAAATCAACTAAAATCCGATAAATGTATGTTTAGAATAATGAAAAAATTAAAATATTTTTTCCAGCTTTAATAGCGACAAACCCTGAAATCACATCTTCTATATTTATGTTTTGTGTGGCTTCATATTCAATAGTTAATAAACCAAGGTTATCGCCATTACTGCTAGCAAGTAATTCTTGATTAATTTTTGCTTACTTTAATATATTAAATTAACTTCTCTGACATGAAGATTAACTTTCTCTAACATGAAGCAACCGATACAGAAATGGTTATAAACCATTAAGTTTGGGAGTGATTCCATTATATCCCATTCGACAATGAATTTTAAAAAGTCTACAGGCTAACAATTTAGAGGCTGTAATATTAAAGGCCGCTTATAAATGTCTTCTGAGCCTTGGTATTTCTATCAGTAGGTCTGCTTCTAATACCTCTTCATAGTAAAAGCCACAGCACCTCGCGAACGTATGTGTTTGCACAACCTCGAACAATGAAGCCACATCATTAAGGGACTTTGGTTTAGAGTTCAATATTAAATCGGTCAAAACATTCCAACATATCCTTTTGAAAGTCAACTCGAAGTGTGAGTCCTGTATCGTTAGCTAACTCACCATCCATTCGTGTTTGACGTTGAATTCGTCTTTCGGTGGGTGTGTCCGTAATCCTTACACTTTGTCGGAGCAAAATCTATTACTTCATCTATAATATAAAGATTATTTATATTATATTGATATTATATAAAATAAAAATATTCTTCAATATCAAGACGAATTACACCTATTTTGGTCGCGGATTGATCAACGGTTATGACTTTACTTTGCAATTTAATCTGAAAAAAAAAATTATTTCTCTTATTACATCATTCCAAAAGAAAGAATTTTAAAAAAATGTTAAAATTCCACACAGCGGGCATAAGATTATATGCAGCACCTCTGGTGTCTAAATTTTCTTGTTGATGACATAATTCTTCAATTGCAGTAACAACACTATCAAAATGTTCTGCCAATACTTTAACTGCAGCATAGTGAGCACTCCAACGTGTTGTAGAAAGTCGTTAACATATGCTTTGCTGTGTTTAATAAGCACTTCCCAGCAGCAAGTGGAAACAGAAAATAAATTAAAAATTGCGGTTTCGTATGTTCACAAAATAATATCAAATTGTATTTTGATTCTGAAGTGAGTTAATTACAAATTAACGATTCATTCTTTTGTGATCGGGCCTCCCTGGTGTCACTCCAAAGGGGACACCGAGGCGGACCGTCCCTAACTTTCCACTCTAGCTACGCCACTGTTAGGGGGTGATTTTCACGATGTTTTTACCAAAATAAAGGGACCGACTTTATTTTGAGCGTAACTGGCTTAGTTTTAATACTAGAAAAACAAAAACAAACTTTTTTTAAACACTTTCAAAAATATTTGATGAGTTTTTACCGAAAAGTGCTTTAGTTTTTGGTTATTTCACATTGAAGTATTCGATTTGGAATTCGACAAATAAGAACCTACTTTTTATGAACTTCAACTTAGCTTGAATTGGATCTAAAGACTTCATAAGTACACCATTATTTTGGTTTTTTTATAAACTATATTTTTGTTAGGAAATTTTTACTAACAAATAACTCAAAAAGTATAAACGTAGTAAAAAAATTCTATCGAATAAAAGTTACTTAGAATTAGTCGATTTATTCATTTAGACTTATTTTTAACGTATGTCTTTTCATCCCCGAAAAGGGATGGCTTTCCAACCCAAGTAAAATCAACCCTGTCTTTAAGTCCAAAAGTAAAGTGGAGGGTTAGAGGAACCTAAATCCAAATTTTCAAAACAGTCATTTACTGGAGTAATATTTCAGTTCTAATATTATACCCAATAGGTTGGCCAATATCCAAATAAAGCATATTATAAGTAGTTATTTGGATCACACTGTGTTCTATATACACCTATCGAAATAAAAAACGTATACAACCAGTTCCTTTTTTATACTAAAAATTAAGGTAAACACGCATGCACTCTAAATTATGACAATTATTACAATATTTATTATTATATTAGGTCTATTGGCCAATTTTGTGAATTTGTAAACTTTTTAATAAATTAATACTAATATATAAAAGTATTTTTTTATAAAGATAAAATAGATATTAGAGGATAAACTATTATTTCAAATTATATTTGAAAACTCATATCGGATTATAAAACAATTTTGTTTAATCAAGTGATATTTTGAAAAAATTATTAAATCGGTGGCATCTCTATTTTTTAATCCGTTTTCTTATTTTTAGGTGTTACGGCAATTTCTATATCTGTATATGGTATAAATATTATAGCTAACTGGCTGTGGACTCCAATTTTTTTCGGAAAAAAAGATATAAAACTGGTAGGCAGAAGTATTTTCATTTAAATAGAAGTTCAAAAAATTTAAAAAATTGTATTCAAATTTTCAGGGCGATAGTACTTATAAAAAAGCTTTCTTTATGTTCATTTGGTTTTTACTTTAAGTATTTTTTATACAGATGGCGGAATATTTTCAAAATATGTCTTATTACAGCAGTGCGGGATTTTACCTACTAAAACCTTTCACTCTTTGGGAAAAGTATGATGAAAAACCTGTTGTATTACTTTACCATAATCCCTCCACTCTGTCATCCGCATTCCATTACATCTACTCTACTCCCTTATAAATCTACAACATATAAGTTACGTTCCTTCACTCTCTCGTCGATTTCTCTTTTTTTTTATCACATAAATATTATACTTCTCACAGGATTCTCATAATTTACCGTCATATCCACTGTGATATTCTCACTTCAATCTCTCTTATTATCTCGTCTTTCTCTCATTGAGCCCTTGCACACAAGATATAAGTTCTACAGTATATTCACACCTTCTTGATTATGTACACACATGTATGTTTCCTCCTTTCAATCTGTGGTAACCAAAACAAGCATATTCTACAGGCACCTAAATCAATTGAAACTTTATCTGCCATGTTCACGGATGATCCATATTTTGAGATCAGTGATAAGACGTCTAGTTCAGTAAGATTTCCGCCTATGTTTCCTCATCCGCTCTTAAGTGGCAGTAAGCACTGCCACTACTGCCACTGACACAGTACGGTAGCCACTACAAACCCTGAGAAGTACATTCCTCTGGAAACGTCTAATTTTGGAGACGTAGCGTAGGAGGTGCCGCTGTAAATACAACCCAAGTTAACGCACACTTTCAGTCGTCACAACCTACAAATCCGATCTGTTTACACTTTCTTTCAATTCCTTTCCATTTTAGCCACAACCACGACTGCCAGATGCAGGACTCCATCATAGTATCTTTTATACATTAGGTCCCTAGACAAAACCCTACAGCATACCTGGCTCATATTGAAGCTCTTTCCACTCAGATTCTCAGATCAGAAAAAAAAGGCACCAGAACAGAAAAGCTCTTGGTTCATTATATACCAGTGTTCGCTATTCTAGCCATATTTTTAATTCTCGTCTCTCTCTTATATAAAATGTCTCATATATTTACCATCACATTCAACAAGCATAATGGTGAATATTTTAGTTTACCTTTCTCCTTTTATTCGTTCTCAATCATAACAATTCCCCACGTATTCATTTTATTAAATTCATTTATAATTACGATAGTTTGACATTTTTTTGTCAATAATATATTTGACAAGAGTGTTATAAGTATCCACGAAATACTTATACAGAAAAAGGATATAAGGAAAGATCGCTGGGAATGAAATATTAGAAAACGATAACGATATCTAACCATAACCTGTAAGACAATTTTATATATTCAATAAAATACTATAGAAGAATTATTCTGTTATTATCTTCTACAACAAAATTCAAATAATTTATATCTTCTCTATTCAAAAATAAAATAATACATCACAATAAAACAATAATGCTTATTAAACTTTTAAACATGAATTGTAAAAAAATAAACACTTAAAATTGCTTATTAACACTCAAAATACTCAAATGTTTATTAATAATTCATATTAATAAAAAACAGATAATGACACATGTTGCCATCAATTATCTTATACTTTAAACATATTGCAATCTTTTATCGACTTTAAATAATCAACATTATGGAAATTATGTATGAAAATACAGGCCAGTTATAGAAACATTTAGCATGTCACAATAAAAAAAAAACAAAATTAATGCAAAGTACGGCATTTACCCTGCTTTACTACGGCTCTACATCTGTCGTTTATACAAAATGAGATTGTCGATATTTTGTTGAGGTAACATGTATCATATATGCTCGATGTGATTCAGGTCCAAGGCAGCACATCAATACATTCGTTGGCAAACCAGTCTGTACCTAGACGTGCGACATGTGGACGAGTATTATCATGCATGAGGTGGAAGGTTTGACCAACAGCACCAGCAAACGGACGAACGATATGTTGAAAAATGGTGTCAATTTACTGCTGAGCTGTAAGGAAGCAGTCTGAAAAAACGAGGTCCGTTCTGCCACCAATTACTGGTGGCAGAACACTATTACACTATTATTCCACTCCATACCATTACTGTATTACCTCTGCATGTGTAAACTTCCTGGACATGTCTTAAGCGTTCTATATTTCCAGATCGTCTCCACACTCATACTCAACGAGAATCTGGATAAAATGGAAATCTAGATTTCTCACAGAATAAAGCTGTAGCCGAATCATTTTCATCCCACTTTTGACATTCTTGACACCAGTCCAGTTTTGCACAATGGAAGTGGTCCACTCTACTATACTTTACGCGGCACCGGTATGGCAAAAAGTGCTTAACATCAAGAAATATAGACGAATGCTAGAGAAAGCCCAAAGGAAAGCACTACTAAGGTTAGCACGTGCATACAGAACAACATCAACGGTGGCCATACAAGTGATCGCGGGTGTGTTACCCATGATGAGCAGGAGAATAGCTATGAATAGCAGCCTAACGGAATGACAGGAAGAATGGACAAATGAGTATAGAGCGGCCTGGACGAGGGTATTAATTCCAAATATCGCAGACTGGATGAAGTGCGGGGACAGAGACACCAATTACTTTTTCACCCAGTTCCTAACAGGACACGGCTCCTTCAGGGCCTATCTAGAAAGGATAGGGAAGGTTGCGGATGGAAACTGCACAGACTGTGCAGTGGCTGACACGGCCGAGCACTGTGTATTCGAGTGCAGAAGATTTGATGAGGACAGAAACGAATTATACAGAAAGCTAGGTAGGGTAAGTACAAATACCATATTGCAGGTAGCAATGAGAGGAAAGACTGAGTACAAGGCAATATTGGAGGCAGTAACTCAAATTGTTAGAAAGAAGGAGATATTAGAGAGGAATCTACAGCAAAGGTATGTAAGAGAGTGTGAGAGAGAGAGGGGATGGGCTATTCATGTGATGCACCGGTCTGGAGAGAACCTACCGCATGAGTAGCCTGTATAAAGTGGGTGGACTTTAGTTAGCAGGCAGGGAGCTATGGGTGTATCTGTGAGCACGACTCCTTTGGAGGACTGTGTGCGGATGGATCCTTCCACCCTGAATCCAACACACGCCAGGTCATCCTTAACGGGACACGGCCTGGTACGGTCTTTAGAAGATTTACCACCAAAAAAAAAGTCCAGTTTTGCAGCGCGATTGCCTCTGGAATAAGGTAAACAAAATTTCTTGTTTATTTACATGTCCTCCCACCCGAATCAAAAAAACTTTGGGTAGATTTTTATTAGAAACATTTTTGTACCAAGTTTGTCCAGTTACCAACGAGTTATAGGTCATGATCATCTTTTTAGGGGTACAACGCTCGCCTTAGTCGGGTCTCTTAGCTTGGGAATATTTTGAAAGTAATTGTCGAAAACATACAACATAAAAAATTCTACTACGCCTTATCCTTAATAATCCCTGAAATAAGCTTACTGGTGCAGAATTGTTTAATTGAAGAAAATGAGAATACGCATGAATAGTGGGAGTACATATATTCATTAATTTTGGTTAAAAACTTTATATTTGTAAATATTAATGTATAGAAAAAACTTATACAGAAGTTAGAACACTTCACATTTGTATTTATGTATAAAAAACGTAGTTAAAACTTTTAAAAAGTGTCGTCAAAATTTATACAGCTAGATAACGTTTTCGATCTAATCAGATCATCTTCAATGCCTTCTTATGTAATTGAAGGTAATACTAAATTTGTAGCTGTGACATCCATATATGGTTTTACATTATTCCAAATTTAAATTATACTATGACTCTTGGTCGATGACATTGGATAAAAATTAATACTTGAGGAGCTACAAGTCTCCTTGCTCGGTTTGAACACGTGGTTCTTGTCAGTTAAAACGACACACACCAACTGCAGTTGGTCTGTGTCGTTTTGGATCAATATCAATATATTGATCGTATATTAGAACTTGTTGTCCTTGTACATGTCGGATCATTCAAGGCCACATACAGCAACAGTAAAAGATTGGTTTCATAATGAGGATACCACACTTTTACCGTAGCCAGCACAATCGCCAGACCTTAATCCCATCGAGCATGTTTATGATTGTGCATCTCTACAATGTTCATATTAGACAAGATCTTCAAATTTGATCTTCAATTGATAATTTAATTTTAAGCCTACCAAGGCGGTGTTAAGTTGTAATTAATGCTGCTTGAGAAAACACAGATTATTAAACACATTTGTTGTTTGATTTTTATGTTTTATATTGACTTTTATATTAAAAACGTCCATTAAATTAGTGCACTTCTTAGCTTTTGTTTGATTATTTTATCATAGACGAATTATGTTACTCTAAAATTGGGATAAATTCATTGTTGAGCAATCAGGCATTATAACGGTATGTCACTATTTGCAATCCAATAAAAACTGATGTATATTTAAGAAAAAAACGTTGTGTTGCTTAGATATTTTTGTTGTGCGTATTTTGAAATAACTATAGGCACCAGGTCGACTCAGCCTGAATAATATGAGCACCTTTGGTAAAACCAGGATTAATAATAGGCGGTTGAAACATAACACTGATCCTGTTACCTTATTTCTGTACTACAGACTCGCAGCCTATCCTGCTATAATCCGAAAGCTGCGTTAACAAAATAAAAGGGAGACTATTATTTATTTACTTCTCTCTCCTATTGATCTATTTCGGCATTTCGCGCCTATTGCATTAGTTTCGTCGATTTAGCTTCATTAAAATGTATATAAATTGTGTAATGGAGTAATAGTTACAATAAGTTTACATAATTTCAACTACTTTTTAAACATGTAGAAATAACAGAAAATAATATTTATTTTTTAGTCTTTCTATGACATCCTGTTAGTCGATATCACAGCCATAGGAGCAGCTGTCCTGTTCTATAGAATTAATACAATTGCTGGTTACCTCATGATACCTTATTGTTTATGGCAAGGTGTTGCAACTCTACTCAATTACTCTATTTGGGTATTGAATCCTTCTAAGACTGCTTCAGTCAGAAAGCATAAGAATTCAAAACGAAAATAAAACATATATACGTTGCGTAGAATATTGTCAATGAAAATAAAGAAAAATTAAACTAATAAAGGTTTGTTTTATTATTCTCTTTTGACTCCTGTCATCGGTCGCGTTGTCAGAAAAAATCATAGAAATGATATATAAAAGTGTTCACTCACTTCAGTTTTTTAATTTTTGTCACATTTGGCTCACGTTTAAAGCAAATCCAATTTTGGGATAAATAAAGTTGAAGGTGGAAACTCCAATTTTCTAATATTCTATTTTATAATATTTTATATAAATATGCATTAAGTAACAATGCATGTGAAAGTTACGGACTGCAAATGAATCTCAAAAAAACGAAATCAATGATATTCTCAAAAAAACCACAAAATGTAAATAACCTGATCATCAATAATACAACGATAGAAAGAGTAAAAACATATAAATATTTAGGAACGTGGCTAACCGAAGATGGAGATCAAGTAAAGGAGATCAGATCTAGAATAGAAATGGCAAGAAACACGTTCATAAAATTGAAGAAATTACTTTGCAACCGTAACCTTAATCTAGAGATTCGCACAAGAATGCTACGTTGTTACGTCTTCTCTACTTTACTGTATGGCATGGAAGCGTGGACAATAAAGCAGTCTGAAATCAAAAAATTAAACTCCTTTGAGATGTGGTGCTACAGGAGAATGCATAAAATATCGTGGATTGAAAAAGTAACTAATATAGAGGTGTTACAAAGAATGAAGAAAGAATGTGAAGTCATAAAAACTATTAAAATTAGAAAGATTCAATATCTGGGACATTTAATGAGGGGTGAGAAGTACGTATTACTGAGGTTGATTATGCAAGGGAAGATACAAGGGAAGAGAAACCCAGGACGACGCAAAATGTCCTGGCTAAGAAATTTGAGAGAGTGGTTCGGCTGCAGCTCATTAGAATTATTCAGAAATGCGGCCAACAAAGTTAAAATAGCGATGATGATTTCCAACCTCCGCTAGGAGAAGGAACCCGAAGAAGAAGAAGAAGCAGCATTAAGTAATTTATTTGCTTATGTATATCGTTTTACCTCGTGGTACAAAAATAATATATTGCACAATTATGAACCGTATCTGTATTAATTGTCTCATTTCTGACATGAATGTGACTGAATGACTGAAATGATACTCAACATCCACCGTAACTTTTTAATTTCAATTACCTCCTTCTTTTTCTAAACCCTTTTTACAGGCCACACTTCACGATCAGATAGTAGCCCGCTCATTCGCTTCCAGTTAAATCATCCAGCCTGTATTCTATGGGCAATTTCTCTATCTAATATCCCTTTTTGCGTTATATAGGAGCCAAGGTATTTAAATTTTCCTACTGGCCTTATGTTTTCCCCAAGCAATTCAATGTCCCCAATCATTCCTGTTACTCTCAACCACAGATACTCCGTTTTCTACCTGCTAATCTTAAGTTCTCTCTCCAATAACCCTTTTTTCCAACCTTTCAACTTCTGCTCCAACTTTTTTTGCTCTCCTTCATTAAACGATATCCATTAACACGCAAAGAGCATTTACCAAGGAGCACCCCTTTCTTATCTTCTCTGTCAATATATCCATAAAGAGATTAAACAGGTAGGAAGTTAGTGAAAAACTTTAATGCAAACGAACCGGCACTGAAAAACTTTCGGTCAATCAGACACAATGTTTTACATTAGGCTTGTCACCGAATTTATATATTGGTGTGACGAAACTGAATTTCCGTTATTTAGGAAAAATTACACTAACTAGTGATTACACGTATGTTAATGGGTTAACTAAGCTTTCTAATATCCAGGTCATCATTAGTGTAAACAGAAGAAAAATGCAAGGAGGTTGGAAATACCCTAGTCTTTTTTTAATATCTAAATATTTGGAATTATATTGAGACAGTAAATTAAAGGAGTGAAAATATTTGTAGACCAGAAAATATTTGTAGTTATTACGAGTTTACTTTTTATTCAATATGATAGGCATGAAATTTAGTAGATAATATCCTATCGGGAAAGCTAAAAGAAACAAACATTTAGGAGGACCAAAATTCTGTACACTATCTTTTACAGCTAACAAGTCTAAAATAATTAGTTTTAAAGCCGGTATGTTTAAATATCAATTATTATGTTTTAGTATATGAGAAATGACACTCAATGGCAGTATGCTGAAACCAATTTCCCGTTATTTAATTACAAGCTTGAACCAAAGATACTATGACCGTTTGTTTAACCCTTAACCGGGGGTGGGTGGGGGTGAAATATTTTTACAATGTAATTGTTTTACAATTTAGATGATTTCTGTAAATATTAATAGCTACAGCATTATATTCATGTTTTCTCTATTTTCTGGAAGTTTTATCATCAAATCGCAGACATAAAAGTAAAATAAAAATTTTTTTCTTCAAACGTCAAATAATGATGACATTACTTATCTAACTTGATCCTGTTAGTTTGATGTCTCCGCAGGCAGTAGTTTTTTTTCCATTTCTTTACGGTGGAGGGAAAAATGTTGTCATGGCAACAATATGAAACATGTCACAAAGCAACAATACAAATGTCATTAACAACAATTAAACATCATTTTTATTTATAGTAATATTAAAAGTATAATTAGTTAATGAGGCATTTTCAAAATTAAAACCGTGCAAAAATGTTCCCGACTCTTGATACGCATTGGTAATTGTTGATGATACTGATGGTCGAGAACAACTTTCAGCAATCATTCCCGATGTTGGCGAATCATGAGGGTTTAAAATTTTTTGAGCATTATCGTTTTTATTTCTTATTGAATCCTCTATATATCCTTCGGCAGCCGTGCTTGATTTCCAGCCCCCATGTCGTTTGAGGGGGCTCAATGTAGATTTCCCCCATGTAGATTTCCGCCTCCATCAATTAAAAGTGTTGCTGAAGTTCATCGTAAAGAGTGACCCGTGTATGCGCTTGCATCGTTTAAATGTAAATAACTAGCTACTTTTTGGGCTACTGCGCTGATCGAATGTATTCCCATGACGCTTCGGTAACACTTTCCATTTTGGTACTTGATAAAAAATCGGTTTTCTGTGAAATTTTCAGGCCGCAGTCATGCATACTTTTTATACAGTTTAATGTAGTTTTGGCCAATTATCGTAAAATATCTAATTTGTCGGGTTTTACTGTCTGGGATTTTGATAATTATTTCATTTTCTTTATCCTCAATGTCCACAGTCTTCATTTTTACCATTTTCGTCGCATCGACAGACGCCGGTAATCCCAATTAACAAAACAATCTGAAATATTTTTATAATTTAGTAGAGTATACTACATGCTTTGCAATATAATTTTTTTTACCTTTAATCCTAAATACAACTCATCTGGCGCTTCAAACAAAAATTTATCAAACTCGTCTTTAGTGAAAACTTTAGACTTCTTTGCAGTATATCCTTCGCTTGTTTTTTTTTTCAGAAAGGCACGTAACTTTAAAAATTTGCTTATATCCACATTTTTTCTAATAACTAACTCGGATTTTATCATAGAGTATCGTGACCACATTGTAGAAGATTTCCATTTATTTTCATTTTCCATTACATTAAAATATGCCAGTAAAACGTCTTCGGTAACTTGCCGTACTCCTCTTGTATCGCACCACTCTTGGAAGTGCTTGTATGCTAACCGATACTTTATTCCGGACTTGGAGGGCCCCAAACGTGCTACTGCATCATTAGCCGCGGACTCAATTTCGTTTAGGTTTTCCATTTTCGCACTAAATTTGCGCTTGCGGTTGCAACAACAATAAGCTGTCTTTAATAATTGACGCAAATCCCACCGACGACTTAATTATTTTAATTTCTAACATCTAGACGACTTTGATAGTTGTCACAGTTAATTTCGAGTAAAAATAGCGTATGAATTGTACTATTTATGGTTGAAAATTGCTACGTCTGAAGAAAAAATAGTATACTTTATTCGGCAAAGAAGCGACTTTTCTTGACTTGCCTTCTTTTACGCGCCTCACTTCGTTCGGCGCGTAATATCGGGCGCGTCAAGAAAAGTCATGCTTCTCCGCCTCATAAAGTAATATACTATTTATTACTCATAGTACTTCGAAAAATATCACGTCCAAACCCGTCTGTGGAAAAGAGAGACAAAAGGGATTCGTGTCCAAATTTGCTAATACTACTTAGAAGTAAATGACCTAAGAATTCCTCAAATTCTATTTTATCGGTAGCAGCCAATTGGTCAAAGATCTGTTCGGATCTTTCCCTTTATTTTTGTGTAAAGGTAACTGTTGGTTGGTATATGTCATAATTTTTGCAATAAGTGTATCTAAAAATAATAGTCGCCATACCTTTAAGGACCATCTGTATCTCCTAGAGTACTCGCCTGATTACATGCTCATGGTAAATGCATAACAAGATTATGACCCTTGTTCTAATTTGTAACGATTTTTTCCACAAACTATTATAATCTGAAAAATTTTCAGTTGGTTCAACATCATTCGTTTTGTCTTTGCTCAAATGTGTATTACCACCAGATAAACTTTGGTCACCTTCTTCCAAATTCAGTTCCTCATCTGAAACATTTTTTCTTTAAGTGGTCTCAGCACCACTGTCATCAGTTCTTTACTCAATATCTCCTCAAAATCCGGATCCGTTGGTTTTAAAATAAGTCCATGACACCAAAATCCAGCCATTATTGTTAGACACTGACACAGTGAAAAATAACTGTTATCGGGGATATGGCATCACACTTACCCCAACTATAACAAATTTACGTGAAAGTGGAGAAACAAAGTGCGACTGACCAGTAGTAAGTATGATATCAAGTGTTGGCAGGAAGGTACTGATGGAGGCGAAGCAGTGCATGAACAAATATCTCCCCAGTTTAGGGTTTAATAGCCATGTGGTGTAAAGTTCTTGTAGCCCAATCGCGAAATAATTCAAAAACTAATCTAGTGCTGGTCGAAATATTCCAGGTAATCCGATCGCGTGACGTTCGGCGAATGTTAACGATTCTTCTCGAGTGTCTG